TCAATAATACGTTAAATAACAACATATAAACCACATTTTATTTCAAAATAAACTGTCTCTACTATCTAGTGCAGTTCTAGGTACATAGTAGGTTCTTGATAATCACTTGTTGATCTCATTTTTGTCTACATCTGTATATTGTGTATATATACTAATGTTGTAGCAGGTTGAGGAGGTAACACAATTGTCTAAGTATATCTGTTAGAATCACTGAGGCTGTCTGGTAGAGATTTGAATATGGTAATTGTAGTGCCTCAAATATATATTTCTAAGGAGCTCTTAAAGAGGTTGTGAGATGACTTCGTGATAAGGACAAGAATAGAGGGCTGGTGTTATTCATATTAGTTAAGGAAGAGTGTGGATTGTGGATTTTCTTCATCACGTGAAGGTGTTTTCAAGCTGAATTGAGAAAGTAGATGTTAACAGCTTAGAGTGCTAAGGACGTTATAAAAAATATCTTCAAGTTATCTACTCCCAGTCATAGTGTCTGTAAGGTGGGTCTCTGTGACATTAATAGGGTTGCCTTTGGAGTCAATCTAGATTCCAAATGAAAAGAAAGTTACCAAAATCTACCCAGAAAACTAACATGGTTTTTTAAAGGCATTTATTAAAGGCATGCTATTTTAAAGGCAAAATGTCATTCCCTTGAATAGAATCAGATTATTTATATAGACTCAGCATCTTGTGGAACTCAAATAACATTTTACAGCTCTTGATGTTTTCCTGCCTTGCCTTAGAATTGTTTCCTAAGATACAATTATTCCCATGTTAATTTTAGATATTGAGTTATTAAAATGCTTTGTTTTTTTCTCATAGAGTCACTGTAGCCAAATGACGCATGGCAATCTAGGAAGCATTTAAAACAACAAATTAAACAAATGACAGTTCAATTTAAGTTTCATGCCATCAGTTAGAAGAACTTCACCTTATATTTTGCACTCGCAGAAAAGCTGGTCCTCCACCGGACAGTGTAAAGTCGCACCTCAGACGTTTTCTGGTTCTTAGGGACAGAGTTGTCTGCCCAGCTGACCCTCACAGCATCATGGGTAAGAGCCACAGCCTGTACACCTACTGGTGGGAGCATGGGGGTGGAGACATCTGGGACCGAGGTGGGGAAATCATCAATCAAAGGATAATAATCAACTGGGTCAGTGGGATCTGGGTTAAAAAACCCACCAAATGAAACAAACAGATACGTAAATAAAAGCGTTCAAAAATAAATATCAGTGGCAACACATCACAATGAGTTAAATGCATGGCAATAATGATGAAAGGGAACATGAGAAGAACAGAAAAAAATATAATTAATTCAATCGGAAAACACATTAGAAACAGTATTGGTACATCACAAAAATAATTGAATATTTTCTATAATTTGTTCATTCCCTTAGACTGGTTTTATCAATTTGGCTGTCACTTCTAGTTATATATTTTTAAAGTCCATTTTTTTTGGAATGTTGCATATCGCTTCCTAAAATATCCAGTATAGAATTTTTCAGTTTTATTACTGTATAGATAAAGCAACAAGACAAAAAAGGGTTTCTGGTTTATATTCTCCTGCAAAGAAAATACTTGCTTATGTGATACTTGTTTTGTTTTCCTCCTCCTTCTCTGACTTGATTGGGTTTCTCTAATGCTCTCATTATTGCTGAGCTTGTATCTGCATAAATATTGTTTAGGCAAGAAACCAACAAACAATAAAGAACAAAGCACCCTGACACCCAAAGCAACCTGTGTGAGGTTGTGATTGCACAAAGCCATGGTGACCAGGTACACATGGTCGCATGGGTCAGTTATATATTTGATAATTACATTTCAGATAGCACCTGGCATGGCAGGCCTTCTTAGATTGGAAGCCTTAGAGAAGGTGTAGTCGTGTGATTTTATCCACATTCTCACAGAGTAATTAGCTAAGTCTTTGTAGTCTTGGCAGGCATTCCTATATTCTATATTACTTGTTCTGAAATTTCAAGTTCAGTGGATAGACTTTATACTATTTAATGGGAAGACAGGATTAAGTACCTGCAGACTGATGAGATGTGCACTGAGGTATATACATGCTTTGATCCATAACATAATGGGGATCTGCATAATGACGTGTATGTTTTACAAAATTCTCCAAAAAAATCTTGTAATCATTTTTATGCCGGGGATATCAGAATCAGAGAAGCTTATTTTGTGGCCATAGTAATAGTCAAATTTTGAGCATTATATTTTATACTTAAGACATTTAACGTTTTAAAAACTTTACCTTTATATTATGCAACATGTATTCTCACTGACAAAAAATAGGGATGTGATAACACAGCTCTGAGGCTGGGCGTATGATGACATTTGGGAGATGAGACCTAGTAACATGCAGAGTGTCTGCAGCCGCGCACATACAGAGTTTATATTTTTAAACAGCCTAGTTCAAAGCGGAGAGGCTACTGGCTGGTTTTGAAGATTGCTTCACTTTGTCCACCGCATTTCAAATGCCTGTCCTCTATTCATCACTCTGTTTTCCAATGAATTATTTAGTAGTTTACTGGTCTGTGGTCTTTGGGGCAAAATATAAAACCCAAAACAAAAACATAACAAAAGGAAAGGAGAGAGAGAGAAATGTGTGTTTAAAATTTAATGACAGAGCCCAGGTTTTCTGTATTTACTTTGACATCTCTTTTTATTAAGGGCTCCTTTAAACCCAAATGGATTTACAGAATGATGAAGGAGGAACAGAAGACACTGCAGCCTCCACGACAACCCCAATCATTCAGCAAGTTTGTGTAGCCGTGGAAGGCGTTTTTGCCCAATCGAAGCAGGTGCTGCCTTGCTGTACTTGTTTCTATTCTTAGCTGGCTTTACGAGAAGAATGTTTTACGCTTGGGGGAAATATAATTCACAAATTCATTTTTTGACCTATCTGTATTAGTGGATTACCCTCTTGTTGTTTCTTCGCTTAATCCAGTTTTGTTGGTAAACATATATTCGCTTTATTATTTTTCACTGGTACCATATATAAGGTTTGGAAATCCAGTGATTCCACTTCAAGAAATGGTAATAGTCAATCATGTCATTTCTGATTTTAAAATAGTATGTTATTTATTATTCACTACTATTGTTACTGAGTTTCTCGCAGTCGGTTCCAGAATGCTTCTCTCAAATTGCAAGCAATGGTGTTTGTTGGTATTTATTAATGGACTTGCATAGTCCAGAATTTTCTACCCTTGGCCAAGTTTTTATTTCCTATTTTAGTGAACGATTTTTTTCAGGTGTGGCTTGTCATTCTACTTGCCAGTTCCACTACAGCAGGGCTCTTTAATACAATAACTACTAGTTATACAAACTATTTAAATTTAAATTAGTAAATATTAAATTTTTAAAATACCACTTCCTATGTTGCACTAGTCAATTTCAAGTGTTCAATGGCCACAAGAGCCTAGTGTGTACCATATTGGATAGTGCAGCTATAGAACATTTCCAGAAAAGCAGAACATTCTAGTGGATAGCAAGCACTACACTGAATACATATTGCATAGTTTGCTAATTGTCTTTTTTCTTCAGGTCAGAAAACTATTTGAATAATTGAATTTAAAACATTCTTTTCATGATAAACAATTCTTTCAGTTTTTTTTTCCTTCCTACTCCTGAGTGCCTTATATGTGCTGATTTTCGTTGGTTACATTCAAAGGAGGGGAAAAAAACTTTTAAAACAGACAAAATATAGCCTCAAACCTTTGGCTAAGAAAGAAATCTATTCAATTCCTAATAGATGTTTTGGTAAGAGCCCATGAATTTTCAGTCATGTTACTAAAGTTCAAAGTGAACTTTAAAAATAATAACACAATTTTACATCTAGATTGTCCTTCATATAAACATTGATAAAACAATTGATCATGCACCAATTCAAAGGGTGTATTTCATTATTCCCCTGATTTTTATTTACCTTCTTCCCTTCCCCAGGCTCAAAATGTCTTGTTCTTGCAACAACAAGAAATGAAAGGTTTTACAGCAAAAATGAAACTTTTAATGAATGCACTTGGCCAGGTGAGACTTTCAACAACTCTAATACTGATATTCCCAGTATGAACTGAGGATCCAGAGCTCACCATCTATGAGCAGAAACCTTCACAGTCTGATGCTTATTCTTGCTTGAGATTTTATTGCCTGTGATATGTTTTGTGTTTACTTTATACTGGCCTTTTTAAAAGATTGCTCATGGGAATACTTTGCAGAAGCTTAGAGACAGAGAATATCTTTTACATGGCACTGACACATTTATTGATAGAGTTTCTCCCAGAACCTTAACCTTTGATTCCATTTATTTATCCTTAGTTCTTCATGACTTGTGGAAACACGATACAATAATTCTGCCACTTCCAGAAAAAGTGTGTTCTTTTCCTTAGTAAAGAACTGGATTCATGTATTCCTCTTCAACACCGTAACTGGCTTTTCCTCAATAAGAAAATTCCTCACACAATTTTCAACTCTGGGAATCATTTCATTTCTCAGATTCATTAGGATTCAGGTCATATCAGGAATAAAAATTGTCTTATGGATCACTGGTGTTTTAGAAACCTTTCTGGGAACGCCATATGCTGAGAATTTTAAAAAATGACAACAAATGCTAAAGGGAAAGAAGTTGATAATGCCTCATGGTTCTTTCTGAGCGACTTACCTTCAGTTTGTTTGAATTGTACTACCTTTATTACTACTACTTTCTGTTCAAAAACTGATTTTTATTTGTCACCTTAATGCTCTTCCTTGTGGGCTTTAGTTTTGGTAAAAGAATAAGAGCTTCAAAAGATTGACCACAGTATCATTTTGTGTGGCCTGATCACAAGCCAAAGTCGTCATGGCAATGAGCAGCTTCTCGGCATCTTTTACCACAGGCCAGAAAGAGGTGGTGTACTGAATAGAAATTATGGGAAACACCAGTACAGCCCGAGTAGCCTGCTCTCTCTCAAAGAATCCTGCTGGTGGCAGAGCAAGATAATAAGGGAAAATGAAAACCCCAGAAACCCACCCATCATGCTATCTCTTAGTTTTCATCCTGGACCTATTTGCTTCATCTGCCTATATTTGAAAATAACGTATTTGACAGTAAATAGTCTCTAGGGTAATTATTTACCTATTTGGAGGAGTCATGAGCCCCTTTGATAACACAATGAAAGATATCTACTGTCTCCACAGATAAATGAATATATTGACATGTGCCCCAAATTTTGTATCCTATTTTAGGTAAATCTTAGACCTTAAAAAAATGGCCAAAGATTCAAGGAGACTGGAATAACAACTTTTCCTTAAAAGAAAATCTTAAAATCAATAAAGTGATGGTATATTCCAGAAACCATCATATAACAACTGTGAATTCATATAACAAGTGTATTCTCTAGATAGTCTATGAATGGAACGTGGGCATCTGGAAAGCAAACTGCACAAAGCTCACAGAAATTTGGGCAGTAGCAGAAACCACAGGATTCTCACTATTTGCTTTATAATCATTTATTCCTACTCATCTGGACTTCAAACTCCAGCAACATTTCATATTCTTTGGTTCTTGCTATTAAATCTGGCAGCTCCTATCTCAGATCTTTTATTCTCATCAAGGTGAAAAT